AGCAAGTATATGGCTAGCAGGTGCTGGTCATGCTTGTGACAGTTTTCAGACAGGATTCAGACAGGATTCCATTCTGATTGATTCAGTTTCATAAATAGCTACGACCGCAAGCAAGATAAGATGGACGCTGGAAACATAAAGCAAACCCCGCTGACAGGCAAACGTAAAATGCAGAGCTCAGAACATGATGAACGCGATACCACGCAAGTGACACCCAGTTGCAAGCGGGATCTGTCCTATTGCCCTGGGATCTGTGTGCCCTAGGTGAAGTTGCTACCGGTGATGACGAGTCATCTGAGGGGTATTAGAGGCAAATGCGACTTGTTCCTGGATTCTTACCATGCAACGTCATAGCACTTACGTTAGAGCTTGTGGATCTGGCATGAAGCTGGCCAATCTCACGGCACTCACTTGAAGCTTATTACTGCGGTTTTTACGGGAGAAGGGCGGGGCTGGGGGAGACAATGGGACAGCTACACAGGGCTACCACGCGCTACCTGAACATGGGGCCCAATCGTCGGAGCTTATTGTTAGATAGGGCTCCGTCACGGCGCATTACTGAACATGGCTGGCCGCTTGGTGCGTGGTTTAAGAACTACGGCACGGTTTAAAAATGTTCACCATCGCGCTCGGACATAACGAGCGCAATCGTTCGTCAGTATTGGCTCTGGGCGATGGCGCGGCACCCAATGGCCGGGCCCGACCGCTGGCGCCTCTTTTTGCTTGAGATGATCCCCTCCGTGAGGAGGCCATATCAAACACAGAGGCACCGTCGACCGGGCCCGATGGCAGGGTGTCTTGCGATAGCCCGGAAGCACTGCCATCTAACAGGTACTCTCACTCGCCCGGCTCGACTGTAGGTGTTTCTAAAATGAGGACTTTGTTTTCCTCTCATACCCATAGTGCCCACCAGCCTTTCAACAGTGCGCCGTGTGAAATTCATGTAAAGGACGAACGACTGCCGGCAGTCGGGTGTAATGTTTGGGCGTCGTGCCAGAGCTCGAAGCAGGAGCGTCAACTCTTTTAAGTTATTGGGAGGGAGCCAAGCCTAGGGCCTGACGACTTAACCGCCCAGCTGCGTGCTTGTCAATGGATTCGGGCCACTTAATGCTGCCTTTTAGCAATTTCCATTTCTAGTTTTGCATCATTGATGTACCAACCTTTCGTTTGACCAGCAAAGCAGTCATACCACCAAATATTTCCCAAATAAAATAGTGTTTATATGTGATAGCTATTTACACATTGCTGCAAAGTTCCAGCTATCTTTTTTGGGTGGGTAAGCTTAAATGTGTGGGGACGAGCAGCATGGGGTCAGTATCTTCACCAAATAGTAGGAGTTGACATAATTGTCTCAGATTCAGTGCTTTTAAAAGTATACGGTCAAACTCTCCGTGGGTAGTTGTGAGTATGTTGAAAACGATGCCGTAGTTTGTGCACCACGTACCGAGCGCCCACCGTCATTCGGCAATACGCCATGCGGTGGTCATATCAAACAAATAGGAACTGGTGGCCAAGCCTGATGCTCGGCAATTCTGCGATAGTGCTGAGGCAATGTTCAGTTGTATCTACATTTGCTCGATGACAGTCCACGGGTGGATGTTTACGCTGCGTGATAGCCCCAGTGTAAATACGCAGCCATTTAAAGATAACTAGAAAAGCGCCCGGAGAGTGGAACCGTGCGCGCATGGTAGCATCGCACTGGAATATTGCAAGACATCCAAATGCCCGACCCGACCGCCGGAGCATATTCTTGCTGGCTATGACACCTTCGGACGAATAAGCTCAAGGTTCTGGTGCTGGCAATCATCGAGGTCCAATATACCAGCAGGTACTGGTTGAACGACGCTATCAAGCAAACGCCGATGTGAGGAAAACAAAGCGTAGTACTTGTGACCAGTTCAATGAATACGTTGGTGCGGGCGTTTAGGGAGAGCGTGCGCTACCATGCAATGCACCATCATTAGGCGAACACACTGTCAACCGACCAGCAGCAATGGAGCGAAGCGCAACAGAGCCCAACTTTAAGATTCAAGTTTTCGCCACAGATAAAGACAACACGGATCATTGGACCTTAGAATCGCTGCACATTCGTTATGTTAGTCCGACGTCGAACACACTCACGCACACGTGCGCGCACACGTACACACACATGCATACACACACACACACACAAACGCACACCCACAACACACGCATACGCACTCATACACCCATCCGTCGTCCTGGGGCTTGACCATTTCTGCAGCGTTGTTTAGGTAGGACGAGTTTAGAAATAGTCCCCTGTTCGTTGTGATTAGTACCAATGCCCACTGCAAAGTTTATCTGTGTCTTATATGCTTAGTGGCTTACTATAGATGATACTTAGTGGGCTTAGCCACCGTGCATCGTGTAGTCCTTGGCACTTCCGTGTATTGGTTGCTAGGAGATGAGAACTTGAATGCCCACAGCGTTGTGAGGTTCGCGCAATGTTCGTGGTGTCTGGTATTCGTAGAAAGTAATT